TTTAACTGTACGTACTTACATGTGTCATTCATTGTTTATATGCTATATAAGGTGTGCGCTATTTCGGGACGCGCATGTGCGTTATTTTGAAGCCAGGTATACTATTTTTAGAGAATGCGATTTTCGAAATAACGCCCATGCTCGTTATTTCGCGGTTTTACGGTACAATAGGACAAACCTCAATACGTATAACAGTAGAATGCACTAAAGCCATTTATCAATTCTTAACCAGAGAAATGCCAAAGTATTGGATAATAGCAAAAACTGTAGTATGATAGAATAATGAAATAGCCAGTTTATCATTTATCCAAAATCATCCAATTGAACCTTCTAGGTTTTTTGGCTACGGTGTTATGGTTGATGAAAGTACACAGAGAGAAGCTAAAGTGTTAATTATTTGGATTTCGTATTGGAATTATATTAAAGAAAAACCCACAATTACTGTAATAAAAGTAAAAGACTTAATAAATTGTAATTCTGAAACAGTTTCTACCGCAGTACTTGAAGCGTGTCAACAAAATAGAATTGATTCCCAAAAATATTATTTTTGGTTAACAGATAATACGGCTTATATATCCTCAGAGGTTAATGGCATGGTTGCTAAATTCAATTCATTAGCAGCATCTAAATTATTTCAGATCCCTTGTGGATTGCATGCAATCCACATTGCTTTAATACATTTTGAAAATATGGCATTTGAAAAATTAGATTCTGTCAAAAGATTATTGTTAAAAAAGCATCCATATAATTTACTTAATCTTGCTTTCTATCTTCACGACAGATATAATATTTCAGATAAAAACAATCCATTAAACCTAAAATCTGGAATGCTAAAAGAACTCTATAAAATTGTATTTAACTTTGAAATGTGCTAATATCAATAGCCTATTCGTCAATAGTAGTTATATAAGCTTAAAACTGCTAAACAATACCTTAATAGATGTGAAATCTATATCCACTTTGTACACTTCTTTATTAAACAACTCAAAAACACCAAAGATATCACAAAATCATACTTAAATAAGTAGCAATTATTTCTT